ACGCTACTAGGGCTCCTGGCCTTACTACTAGGAGCAAGCACGCTACTAGGGGCTCCTGGCATGGGGCTCCTGGCCTTACTACTAGGAACAACTCCTAGCCCTACTGCTAGGAGCAAGGACGCTACTAGGGGCTCCTGGCATCGCTACTACGCTACTAGGGGCTCCTGGCCTTACTACTAGGAGCAAGAAGCTATTAGAGACATTGAAAAGTTGGTCTTTCAAGACTCTAGGTTGAGCAACGTCTACTACGACATGCGGATTTCCGAGACCTGTGCCCAATGCCTCAGGATCATCAACGGTTGGACACAGCATGAACTCTGCCAAAATACAAGTTGTTACAAGAGTCTTGATGCTCTTCACAGTGCAAGGTCGATCCAAATGCAGAGGGAGAAGCTCTTGTTGTCTACAGCATCGCTAGAACGCGTCCAGTTCCCGCTGTTTGGCTCTGAGGGTTATCGTTTCCCACTCCACCTGCTGCTGTACTAGTGGCTAGGTGGACGAATGTGTTCCAAGGTCGCACCTGTTCTGGTATCAGTCTTTGCAACCAGTGCACGATCTTTGGCCGGATGCCCAGTGCAAGGTTTTGCTCGAAAAGTGAAGCGGGATGTCCTGTTGATGCTGCCGGCAAGGGAAGTACAACATTCTGTACCATATTATATTTTTGTTTTGATCGGAAGCGGACTGGGACAGTCTCTATTTGAAAGCATCGCCTTTTGGACCTTTCTTTCTTTTCAGTCAGCTTCTCACTTTTGAGCAAGATGACATGCCATGCCGTGACAGGGTGTTTCCTTCATCCAACAATCGGCTGGACAATGCATCTTCCAGGACGGCAAACGGTTCTTCATTTTTTTTGGGGCAGGAGCTGACAATGATTGCTGCTTGTTTTTGGACACCTCTCAAGCCAAGACTTGGCCAAACGCCTTGTGTGAAGGGCTACGCCATGCAGTGGCAGTTGCAGGGCTGGGACTACTGGCTGCACCGGACCCAGTCATTTGAGAGAAGCCTTGAAGGGCAAGTTAACTGCCAAAACTTGTGACTTTCTCTCAGAGCCTGTTCTCCTCCTTAACATGTTGCAAGGTCTGATGCTGACTGTTTGCCAAGAGCTGCCTCCCTTTGCTCTGTGACTGGCTTCCCATCCAGTCAGAGCTACTACACAGCTGGGAAGCACAGCGTGAAGCGTATGTTCCTGTTAACATGAACCGTTTTGAAGCTCAAACACCCAGCAACAAACTGTCATAATTTTCAAACTTTCTGGGTTTTTTTACTAGGTGAGGATGATGGAGACATGCAGTGATCCTCTGGCAGACAGTCCATGGGTGGAATGGTGCCTTGGCTGTTTCAGCTCCAACTCAATGGAAACGAACATCCCAGGAACCTGGTGCTGTAGTTTCAGGTTGCTAGTGAAGTTGATGTAAAAAACAATACGATGCTGTTTTGTTCTAGGTTGCAAGCATATTCCTTTGTGCAACATTGAACCGCAGCACTTCAACCGATCGATAGCTCGATAGCTTTGAAACGACTCACGTAGAATCCTACAGTGTATAGTGTATTTGCCTGAGTTATATAATGGGGATGGAGAACGCCCATATTATGGATGCCCTTCCTTGGAAAGTTTTGGCTGCTTTGCGCATGCTTGTTTGCTGCCTTTCTTCCAAGGCCAGAGTTCATTCAGACTTGGCCTGAACCTGCTCAAGCTCCAAGCAATTTCACCTTTGTGGAGCTCACAGCATACAATGTGTCCGCGCCCCAAATTTCACCTTCAAAAGCACAAAACACATCTAAAAACTGTATGTGTATACATACATACATACATACATACATACATACATACATACATACATACATACATACATACATACATACATACATACATACATACATACATACATACATACATACATGGCTCAAGGCCATAAGTGTTCAAGGTCGTGCCCCTCACAAATCGACCTAGTGCGGTAAGCCCCAAGCGCTTCGAACATATCCCCCATCTTCCTGCACGGAGACCCTACTTCCTTGGCTGCCACTTGGGCACTGGTCTTTGCTCGTTATAGAGGAAAAGCCAGAGGAGGTGATCAGGTTTCCCAGGAACTTTGTCACCGGCACCTCAACCTCCGGGACTCCGTGAATTTGATTGGGGCAACAGCACTGAACACTAGTACGGCCAGAACGTGCTCGGTGCCACCTTGTCTGCCCATTTGATCGACTACCAAATCCACAACAGCGCGAGGGCGCCTCCTCCAGCACCTGCACTATGACGACTAGCACCCCCACTTCATGGAGCAGAGCTTATGTGGTGTGCCACAACTGCTCGAATTGGATTTGGCAAGACAAACTACGTCCCGACACCCGATGCCGCAAATGTGGCAACTGGTGGCCCTCAGCACGTGCAGGAATCGGCAAAGGCAAGGGTCAGGGCAGACCTCAACGAGCTCAAGACAGCTGGCGATCCAGCTCCAAAGATCTTCTCGACAGACCACCAGGGCTTCAAAAGCTCAAGCCGCTCAAGAAAACCATGCCCACGCAGGCTGCCCATGAGATCTTAGCCAGCACCTGGGAGGCCATCCCAGCTGAAGCTCAGACCAAGCTCCAAACCCTGGGCTTTGGACCACCCCCGCAAGAGGAGCCAGGGCTTGAAGCCGTCTTGCAAACCCATCTCAAGGAACTTCCACAAGCAGTCCAGGATGTGGTCAACAAAATGCACCAGCCCATCCCGGACACCGAGAAAGCCCTGGCTCAGAAGCTAAAGACCCAGGTCACCGAGCTCAAAACCATCTCCATGAAGAAAGCACAGCTCCAAGGCCGACTAGATCAGGTCAAGAGCCAATATGCCAGCATGCTACAAGAGATGCAGGAACACCAGACCAAGCTCACAGATGGACAACAAAAGCTCAAGACCTTGTCCGAGCAGTACATGCAGGCAGTCAACAAGACACCACCACCGACAGATCTTGAGGTGACAGATCCAGAGCTTCCCATCCCCATGGCAGTTGAAACTTTTGTCACCAGTTTGGGTATCAGCTTGACTGCTGAACAGCGCAGTCAACTCCACGGCCTACTTAAGCGGCCAGGAGGTGAAGTTGAGGACCCCAGCAAGCGCCGGAAAACTGATGCACCCAGTTTGCCAGCAGGAGGGGAGTGTGGGTAACAGGACACACCATGGCCACCAGGACTTCCCAGGTTTTGAGGTGTCCATATCATGGGAAGCAGTTGATTGGACACCATCACATGGGGATTGCCGCGCTGCCTCAAACTCAGCGCAAGGGTCCAGCAGGTGACATGTGCAGGGGACAAGTCACATACACACCTGAACCTTTTTCAAGTACATCCAACTTTAGGGGACGACTCCACCAAGAGTGAAGGGGAAACCACTCTTGAAAGCATGGAGATCAATACTACAGACCCACACAGGTCTGACAATTTTTTAGCAGCACCTTCTCCGATCCTGACGCATGGGTTGCCGCTGGGTGCACCGGGGCCAGAAGTGGTCTGCATCCAAGGAGGACGAAAGCCCAGTAGCCAGGTGAAAACCACAGCCAAGCACAAGGGCAAGATGGAACCGGCTTATGCCACTACAACGGAAGTAATCCTTCAGAACCTCACGATGACGGTGGGCAACCCTAGCAGCAGATGCTATGCCAATGCCCCATGGAGAGCATTTGCCTGGACATGCGGCTTGCTCCAAGAGACCAACACCCAGCCATGGGGCAACCTCAAAGAGGCGGTCCAGGAGTCTTTAGAGATGGCGGAAGCTGTGGACATTCAGCAGCTTCCTGGCCTGAAACCTATGTGGAAGAAACACGACCTCAACATTGAAGGGGATGCCAACCACTTTGTCAACACGCTGTGGAATGTCTCCCAAACAAGAGCCTTCCACTACAGGTTTGCGGAGATCCAGCCAGGAGGATACCTTCTCGACCACATCCAGCAACCCATCCTGGTCCCTTTTCCAGATGACGGGCCAGAGGTCACCACTCTCCAAGACCTTTTCAACGGATGGGCGAACACTGGACTAGGGCAATACTTGATGGACGACAAGCCGGTATTGGTCAGCCACCTCACCAGAAACACTACGATCAATGGCACCCCCACAAAACACAGCAAGCTGGTGAATACCTATGGCAGCTTCACCGTTCCCAGATCCCTGGATGGCTTTGCCAGAGCATCCACGGAGTTTGTGCCGGCAGCACTGATTTGCCATCAAGGGAAGAGTCACAACACCGGACACTACTTCGCCATCCTCATCTATAGGGATTTGATGTGGATAGCTGACGATGGCAAACCGCCAATGCACTTAGAGCACTTGACACCACAGCTGGCCAGCCAAGTCACACAGGTGTGGGCAGTGCACATCGACACCTTCAAGACTCCACAACAGGTCCTCCGATCGCTGCCACCACCTGCAGAGCCGGACTTCGACCCTCCACTCCACCCCAGCCCGGAGAAGAAGGCCAGAGTGGAGCAACCGCACAACAATTTGCATTTTGCAAATGTGACACACTTTGGGAGACAGGTACTGGACTGGTACTGGTCAAGACAAAGCGAGGTGTACGTGTTGGTTGAAACGCATCTAGATCCACAGCAGCATCAACAGACCTGCCAATATTTCACCATCAGAGGCAGAACGGCCTTTGGCACACCAGCCCACCCAAATGAAAGCAACGCAGGCACACATGGCGGCATCCTGGTGTTAGCAGACCCTACGTGTGGGCTCACTCCTTTGGAATCCTACACGAACCAAGGCTGCGGCTTTCAAGCATTTCTCTGGCAGGCAACAGAGTGCACCATCCTTGTGGCAGGCACCTACATGAAGACAGGTGAAACATTGCAAAGTGATGCCAATGCCACCATCCTCGCCCGCCTCTTGGCCCTGGTTCAGGCCACCAACCACCCCTTCGTTCTCTTGGGGGATTGGCAAAACAGCCCTGGCAGCATCACCAGCACGGTGTTGCCCTCCAAATTCCATTTTGAGGTCCTCTCGCCAGACGCCAGCCTCTTGTCCGGCAATGTCACAGACTATGCCCTGATCCATAACCAGCTGGCCAGCACCACTTCCCTCACTACCGACTGGGCTGTACCTTGGAGGCCGCATGCACTCATCTCGTATCACTTCAACATTGAAGAGGCCACCAAAGAATACAGGCAAATCCAGTACTTCCCGCCGCTCCCGGCCACACCGGACATTGACTTCCGGCCTTGGACCACCTACAAATCCACTGCCTATGAGCTGGACCTGTATGGCAACCCAGTCAATGATACGGCACAAGCTTGGGCGGACTGGCTTTCTTGCACTGAACAATACCTATTACAAGAACACCCCTGGGCTGCACAAGGCAGAGGATCCAACCTCAGGGCAAGTCACAAGCCTCTAGCGCCAATCACCACCACCACCACGTGGAAAAGAGGCAGACCAGCCTACTGGGAACAACTACGGGCCAGGTTCCGGCTTGCACTCCAACAGCCTCCCCAGCAGGTCAGAGGACCCACCAAGGGCTTCATGCAAGCAACAGCTGATGCACCACAGCACTGGGTTGGCACGCCGACATGGGGCCAGTTTCTCGACACCTGTCACCACTGGCACAAATACAAAGACAGTCATGCTGCCAACTTGGTCCATCACACCATTGACCATCAACTTCAATTGGCACAACAAGCGGCAAACGATGAGAGTCATCTCCAATACAAAGCCTGGCTGACCCAGGGCTACACCAAAGGCCTAAAAGGACTCTTCCGCAGTCTTCGCAGTAGTGAACTGGCATGGGAACGACCCTACAGGACCTTGCCACCGGATGAACGTATGACCCAAAGGCTCACAGATTGGGGGCAGCTCTGGCAAATCAACCAGGAAGACAGGCCACCAGCCAGAGACCATCTCCACAGCCTGGCGAGAGAACAAGCCCGACAGCTCGAGCCGCTCACTCTCAGTCAGTTGACATGGGCTCTGCGACACCTTCCTGACAAGGCATGCGGCCCTGATGCTGTGACAGCTCAACTGTTGCGCACAGCTCCACCTTTGGCAGTCAAAGCCCTCTTGACACTCTATCAAGAGATGGAAGAAAGGGTCCAACTCCCCACACAACAGCAAATGCACATGGTGGTCATGCTTCCCAAAAATGCAGCCAAAGAGAGACCCATCACACTGACCTCACTGCTGTACCGGGTATGGTGTCGGCTTCGCAAACCTCTGTTGGATGCCTGGCAACAACATCTACCACCAGCCATGAACCACGACCGAGCCAGACCCGGTGCCACTGTGCTGTACGTGGCCTTGGAGCGGCTTTTGCGCCAAGAAGTCCACCGAGCCAATGGCCGGCACGGTGTGACCTGCCTGATGGACATGTCAACCTTCTACGATGCCATCAATCTCCAACGACTCGAGACTGAGGCACTCTGGCTTAGCTACCCTCCGCTCATGCTGGAAATGGCGCTCCAGGTCTACCATGGTCCCAAAGCCATCGTTGCCGAGCAAGAGATGACACCCTTTTTCACTGTGACCAACGGCGTGCCGGCTGGCTGCCCCCAGGCACCACTGCTTGCGAAGGCAGTACTAGCACCAGCCCTACAACCATGGCAGCAGCAACACCCCACCATTCACCTATCCAGCTGGGTGGATGATGTAGGATTCGATACAGCCAATCCCACAGCCCTCCAAGCAGCCACAGCAGCAGTCGAAGCCTACAGGGACTTACACAAGCGACTTCTGGACCTGGGCCTGCAAGTCAACCCCAAGAAGACTGCCT